TTTTTTTTTTCTTTTTTTAGAAAAAAGAAATCCCCCCCCCCCCCAATTTCCCCTGGGGGTTTTTTTTGGGGGCTTTTTTACCGGTTTTGGAAATGTGTTCCAGCCCTTAATTTTTTTGGGGGTAAATAAAAACCGGTTTTTTGGGGGACCACAAAATTTTCCCCCTTTTCCCGGTTTTTTTTAGGTTAAAAGCCCTAAAATTTTTTTTTTCCTGGGTGGGGGGGGTTTGGTTCCCAAATCCCCAAACCCCCCCGGGGGGGGGGGGAGCCTCCTTTGGGGGGGGTTTAAAAATTTGGGGGGTTTTTTTCCCCCCCCCCCCCCCCGCCTCCCTTACCCCCCCCCGGATCAACGCATTTGTTTGTCTAGGAGCGGAACCACTTGTTCTTTCTGTCGGCGATGGCTGTCGCGTTATTGATCATCCCGATCTACCAGGACATGACCTTGGAAGTGTGGTGAGAGCAAAGTTGATGTAGGGAGGGATATGGAGGGGGGTGGGTGGGGGGGGGCGTCCATGCGCTGCTTGTGTCTGGGTTTTGAGAGAGATATGTTTGTGCCTCTCTTGGGCATGCGAGATTCCACGATTGCTCGAACCCAAATAATTTTTTACCCTCGTTATAATTTTTCTACCCTCGTCAGCAGTGTGTTTGGTGTAGTTGGTGTTGAAGCGGCCGGAAAGCACTTCTACACGACTACACCAAAACACGCAACGTGGGTAGAAAAAATACTTCGGGTTGGAGCAACGGTGTAACCTCGCATGCCCGAAAGATACCCAAACGTGCCTCTCTCATCGAGACCTAGACGTTCTTGGTGGAGAAAGGCGCAAAAGAGAAAAGACCGAGCTGCGAGGGCACCACGAGCACCGGGTGGCTGTTCGGTAATGAGTCGAAGTGCGTTCATCACCGCCCGATATCTGCAGGCTTGGTGATGACGACCCAGACGTGAATGGCTATTGGAGATTCGTCAGAAATTTTCGGACTTGAATGCCGTACACATGTGGAGGAGAGGTGCACAAGTACAAGTGTTACAACCAGTGTTGCGCTACAAACTTGGACACCATCCGATACACATGTACAGCTTTGGAACCGATACTATTATAGCTTGTTTCCGATGAGCGTTGTACCGACGTTTTTTGTTGTTCTGTTTCCGTGCGGTGCCCGCTGCCTGCCTGACCCCACAGGGAGGTCATCGCGAAGCAGGTGGACCTCCTGGCCTCCGCCACTCTCGTCCTCGCTGGGACGTTGGCGTGTATCTTCCCCTTCATCCGGCAAGAACCAATAACAAGCTTTCTCGTTCGATATATCTTGTTGTTGTGGGTGTGGCAGGTCAAACACAGGTTAGGTGCAAGTGCGCGCGTGTAAGCAGGGGAGGAGGATAGATGACCGTGAGGCTCACGCACGTACGAGAAAAGAGCGTTCAGTCGGGCTTGCCCCCCCCCCCCCCACACACTCCGTCGATCCTCGCCCACCTCCGTCCCGCACCGACCAAGAAGCAAAAACTGTCCGCATGAACACCCCCACGCTCGCAACAACAGGAAGGTGGACGACCTCTTCAACATCAGCAGGGAGCTCATCATCGTCACGATCTTGTTTCTCATTCTCGCCAGTGAGTTTTTTCGGGGGGCCCGTGGAATCGTGGCGCCGGCGTCGTGGGGACGTGCCTGCTGTATGTGCATGTTTTGTGTATGCATAGTACTTTTGTCTGTCCTTGTTGTGTCTTGATTCCGGCCGCATATTAGTCCATAGCCCTTTTCCCCGCAAATACTTCACGTCCCTGTGTGGGCTGAGAATACGCAAAGAGCTGCTGCGGGCCATTTTTTTGTCAGCACCACCAACCCACACGCACGTGCGTACACACACATTTCCCTTTTATCCCCCCGCTCTTCGTGGTCGCGTTGCTCAGTCGGAATCAAGTGCGGGCTGTATTTCGAGGTGGACATGTGGACCGGGGGCAACCTCAATTTCTTCATAACGGCCGCGGTGTTCGGGGTCAGGTGGGTCGAGGGGGGAGTCCTAGGCGTCGAGAAACAGACGTAGCCAGTAGCCAGAGAGAACGACCAAATGTGTGTTCCACAGAGACAAGAAATCGGAACAGTAAATTGATGGCCAAGAAGGAGAAGGCGCGGAGGAGGGGGTAGTGTAATGTAAAACGCATGGCGACTCTCCGCGCTGCCGCCAAGCTGCTGCGGCAAAAGAAGCCGTGTATTCGAACGATGTTTGTGCTGACAGGATATCCGCGCTCATCGTACACATGCCCCAACAACACCAACACCTTTCCTCGCCCGACACCCGCGCAGCGTGGTGGGTCCGCTGCGTCGCCTCGCGGTTGACCCTCTGGCCGGGTCCAAGCAGCGCTGCACGGGCAGAGCGGTGCTCGCTCGCCGGGAAACCCGGAGGTAAGAAGTACTGTCATGAGTAGTCGTGTGCGTGTGATGGGGTGTGCATGTGCGTGTACGCGTGTGTGTCTTTTTCCCAGCATCCCGTAGTCTCGACTGCGCAAAAGGGGCTGCTGCTGGCGGCCGTGGTAAAGAACAGCCCGTTAGGGTTTCATAGGGGGAAGTTGGTCTTCAATTAGCGGGAAGTTAGGGCGCAAGATTTTGCAAAGAGCATTCTGGTTCTCGGGGCCACACGGGATGCGCGGGGGGAGGTTAGGTTTGTGTTTTTCTGCGTGTGTATTTTGGACATGGCGTCGACCGCCGCCTCCGCTCTCTTCCGCGTGTCTTCTCTCTTTCGATGGGCGTTGTCCACGCGGTGTCTGAGTATCGATTTGGTCGTTCCGGTATCTGAGCGTGATGTGGAGGATGGAAACGATTTCATTGTCTACCGGAGGATCCTTCGACGGCGGTGTTCGAGAGAGAGAAGACGGATGACAGGGGGGGGGGGCGTGCGAGTGTTGATGCATCATGTAGACAGGCAGAGAGAGCGCCCAGGCGAACAACATGGGCCGCTCATGCTGGCGGCACCCACAGCTATGCGTTGCCATGTACCTATGTTGTAGTTTTTTGCCTCTAGCTGACAATGATAAACGAAAGGAGAATCCTAGACTACATGGACGAAGCGCAAGAGCCAGTGGTTTGCCGTGCGCCCACCACCAACACCACCACCACGCAGAGTTCAGACTGCGTTTAGCGCTTGGTGCCGTACGAGCTTGATCAGGTGCAGCATGCTCCGCCCCAGTACTGGAGGTTTGATTGAATGTGTGCGGCATGCACGACTGTGAGTCTCCCCCCCCCCCCCCCGCGCCCCCTCTTCCAACGCTCGTAACCCCTTCCCTTGTCTCACCGCCCTTCGCGCGCCCCCCCTGTCACACCTCGGCCACCACCACCACAACCCTTGGCCGGCCCCAAAAAGTACGATGCGAACGGCCTCCTCGTGCGTCTCCGACAGCGAGGACGTTTCCTACTCGGCGAAGGCCACCGCCGACATCCGGGGCAGCAGCAGGGCGGTCAGGGTAGCGAGCAGGAAGCTGGAGGAAGGGTTCTACGGCGGCGGAGTCGACGAAGACGACGACGACAGCTGTGATACCACGCCTACCGCGCCCACGCCGGCGGCGGTAGCGGCAGCGGTAGCGGCGGTGGCGACCTCGTTGTACGACGAGCCACCACCAGCAAACCTCTCGCCCTCGCCCTCGCCGGGGGATCCCGGGGCGGGAAACTGGCAGTACCAGGGAATAAACTTTTGCACAAGTCGGGGCGGCGGGGCGGACGGCGGCCGCGGCGGCGGCGGTTGGGGTAGGGGTGGTGGGGAGGAGATGGTGG